AAACACAATAAGTTAAAAAAAATAATGAAAAGGCGGAGAAATACTACACAAATGAAGGAACAAACTAGAAACCACAGAAGTCCAAGTAAATGAAGAAGAAATAGGCAAACTACCTGAAAAAGAATTCAGAATAATGTTAGTAAAGATGATCAAAAACCTTGAAAACAAAATGGAGAAAATGCAAGAATCTAACAAAGATCTAGAAGATCTAGAAGAATCTAGAAGAATTAAAGAATAAGCATACAAACAAAACAATTACTGAAATTAAAAATACTCTAGGATGAATCACTAGCAGAATATCTGAAGCAGAATGAATCAGTAAACTGGAAGATATAATGGTGGAAATAACTTCTGAAGAGCAGAATAAAGTAAAAAGAATGAAAAGAACTGAGGATAGTCTCAGAGATGTCTGTTCGTCTCAGCAGCTGCTGCTGCTAAGTAGCTTCAGTCGTGTCCGACTCTTTTCAACCCCATAGATGACAGCCTACCGGGCTCCCCCGTTCCTGGGATTCTGCAGGCAAGAACAGTGGAGTGGGTTGCCATTTCCTTCTCCAATGCATGAACGTGAAAAGTGAAAGTGAAGTTGCTCAGTCATGTCCGAGTCTTAGTGACCCCATGGACTGCAGCCCACCAGGTTCCTCTGTCTATGGGATTTTCCAGGCAAGTGTACTGGAGTGGGTTGCCATTGGGACCATATCAAATGCACCTACATTAAAATTACAGGGGTCCCAGAAGAAGAAGAGAAAAAGAGAGGGTATGAGAAAATTTTTGAAGAGATTTTAGTTGAAAATTTCCCCAACATGGAAAAGGAAGTCATAGCCAATCATAGTCCATCAAGTCCAAGAGGCACAAAGAGTCCCATACAGGATAAACCCAATGAGAAACACACCAAGACACATACTAATCAAACTAACAAAGACTAAACACAAAGAAAGAATATTAAAAGCAGCAAGGGAGAAGCAACAAGTAACATACAAGGGAAACCCCATATGCTTAACAGCTGATCTTTCAACAGAAACTCTGCAGACCAGAAGGGAATGCTGCTGTTGCTGCTAAGTTGCTTCAGTTGTGTCCAACTCTGTGCGACCCCATAGATGGCAGCCCACCGGCTTCCTCTGTTCCTGGGATTCTCCAGGCAAGAATACTGGAGTGGGTTGCCATTTCCTTCTCCAATGCATGAAAGTGAAAAGTGAAAGTCAAGTCTCCCAGTCATGTCTGACTCTTAGTGACCCCATGGACTGTAGCCTACTGGACTCCTGTCCATTGGATTCTCCAGGCAAGAGTACTGGAGTGGGTTGCCATTGCCTTCTCCAGAAGGGAATGGCAGGATATATTTAAAGTACTGAAAAGGGAAAATCTACAACCAAGATTGCTGGACCTGATAAGGATCTCATTCAAAATTGATGGAGAAATAAAACGCTTTTCAGACAAGCAAAAGTTAAGAGAATTCAGTACACCAAACCAGCTTTACAACAAATGTTAAAGGGACTTATATAGTCAAGAAATACAAGAAAAGAGCTATAAAATCAACCCCAAACTATTAAGAAAATGGCAATGGGGACATATATATCAATAATTACTTTAAATGTAAATGGATTAAATGCTCCAACCAAAAGATACAAATTGGCTGAATGGATACAAAAACAAGACCCATATATGTGCTGTCTATAAGAAACCCACTTCAGAGCTAAAGACACCTATAGTCTGAGAGTGAGAGGATGGAAAAATATGTTCCATGCAAATGGGAAACAAAAGAAAGCTGGAGTAGCAATCCTCATATCAGACAAAATAGACCTTAAAATAAAGAATATTAATATTACAAGAGATAAGGAAGGACATACATAATGATCAAGGGATCAATCCAAGAGGAAGCCATAACAATTGTAAATATCTATGCACCCAACATAGCAGCACCTCAATACATAAGACAAACACTAAAAGACATAAAAGGAGAAATTGACAGTAACACAATAATAGTAGGAGACTTTACCATCCCATTCACACCAATAGACAGATCATCAAAACAGAAAATTGACAAGGAAACAAGTCTTAAATGATACATTAGATGAGATGGTTTTCATTGATATCTTCAGGACATTCCATCTAAATGCAGAAGAATACATCTTCTCAGGTGTGCATGGAACATTCTCCAGGATAAAACTGTACACAGAAAATTATAAAACACTAATGAAAGAAATCAAAGATGATATAAACAGATGGTGAGATATTCCGTGTTCCTGGGTAGGAAGAATCAGTATTGTGAAAATGACTATACTACCAAACACAATCTACAGATTCAGTGTGATCCCTAATCAAATTATCCATGGTATTTTTCACAGAACTAGAACAAAAAAATTTCACAATTCATATGGAAACATGAAAGACCCTAAATAGCCAAAGCAGTCTTGAGAAAAAAAAAAATGGAGCTGGAGGAATCAACCTTCCTAACTTCAGATTATGTTACAAAGCTACAGTCATCAAGGAAGTATGGTACTGGCACAAAAACAGAAATATAGACCAATGAAACAAGATAGAAAGCCCAGAAATAAACCCATGCACCAATGGGTACCTTATTTTTGACAAAGAAGGCAAGAATATGCAATGGGGCAAAGACAGCCTCTTCAGTAAATGGTGCTGGGAAAACTGGACAGCTACATGTAAAAGAATGAAATTAGAGCACTTCCTAACACCATACGAAAAATAAACTCAAAATGGATTAAAGACCTAAATGTAAAACCAGAACCTATAAAACTCTTAGAGGAAAACATGGGCAGAACACTCAGTGACATAAATCTAAGCAAGATCCTCTATGACCCACCTCCTAGAGTAATGGAAATAAAAACAAAAGTTAACAAGTGGGACCTGATTAAACTTAAAAGCTTCTGCATAGCAAAGGAAACTATAAGCAAGGTGAAAAGGCAGCTTTCAGAATGGGAGAAAATAATAGCAAATGAAACAAACGACAAAGGATTAATTTCCACAATATACAAGCAGCTCATATACTCAATGCCAGAAAAGCAAACAACCCAGTCAAAAAGTGGGAAAAAGACCTAAACAGACATTTCTCCAAAGAAGACACACAGATGGCTAACAACACATAAAAAGATGCTCAACATTGCTCATTATTAGAGAAATGGAAATCAAAACCACATTGAGATATCACCTCACACCAGTTAGAATGGCCATCATCAAAAAATCTACAAACAATAAATGCTGGAGAGAGTGTGGAGAAAAGGTAATGCTCTTGCACTGTTGGTGGGATTGTAAATTGATACAGCCACTATGGAAGATGGTATGGAGATTCCTTAAAAACTAGGAATAAAACCACTGTATGACCCAGCAATCCCATTCCTAGGCATATATCCTGAGGAAAGTAAAGTTGAAAGAGACACATGTATCCCATTGTTCATTGCAGCACTATTTGCAATAGCTAGAACATGATAGCAACCTAGATGTCCATTGACACATGAATGGATAAAGAAGTTGTGGTACATATACACAATGGAATACTGCTCAGCCATAAAAAGGAACACATTTGAGTCAGTTCTGATGAGATGGATGAACCTCGAACCTATTATACAGAGTGAAGTGAGTCAGAAAGAGAAAGACAAATATCGTATTCTAACACATGTATATATGGAATCTAGGAGAATGGTTCTTAAGAACTTAAAGGGCAGCAGTGGAGAAACAGACATAGAGAATAGACTTATGGACATGGGGAGAGGGGAGGAGAGGGTGAGATGTATAGAAAGAGTAACATGGAAACTTACATTACCGTATGTAAAATAGATAGCCAGCTGGAATTTGCTGTATGGCTCAGGAAACTCAAACAGGGGCTCTGTATCAAGCTAAAGGGGTGGGATGGGGAGGGAGTTGGCAGGGAGACTTAAAAGGGAGTGGATAAATGTATACCTATGGCTGATGCATGTTGAGGTTTGACAGAAAACAAGAAAATTCTGTAAAGCAAATACTCTTCAATAAAAAAATTAAGAAATCTTTAAAAAAATTGTACATATCACATATACATGATAAATTGGTACTATTATAATTTTTGCTTGTTTTTTTTCCCCTTTAAGAGTGAAGAGTTTTGTTTGTTTGACTTGGAATTCATGTGTCTATATGTCTGTTGGAGGTAGAAACAATTAAGTACTACCCAGTGGGCCCAAATAGCTTTCAGAGCCTCTATAATCATGGAGAAGCAGTCTGAAAATGTCCAGTCCTATGAGGCCTGGGCATTTTGCCCTTTAAGAATGGTACATCTGGTGGGATAAGGGGGAATGGGGACAGGAATATAGACATGAATTTTATGACAGAAGATGGCTAGAGGTAGGATTATTAGTAATGAGGAAGTAATTGGTAATATAGAGAATCCAGTCCTTATTTGATTATCTGTATCTTTGATCTCAACTTCCTGACATGTAGCTACAATAAAATCCTAACCAAAGAGTTGTAGTTTGGAAGCTGATGACCGTAATTTCTGGCTTCCAGGCAAACTTAAAAGTGACTTTTCTCCCTGAATTGACATGACTTCTCTGGGAAGCGTAATCACAGGGCTTGCCAAGAATACATTTTTGCAGTACATAGAATTTTAATTTTCTTTTAATTGTATTGTGTAAATCTGACAGATTGTCATGTAAGGTTACAAATATTGTTGCATACCACACACAGATATACAGAGTTCATAGGCATAAAGTGAGATTTTTAGTCATTTTGAATGGGCATGTTCGCTTTCCTAGCATTATTCCAGTGTTCTCTGCTTTCTTTCTCTGTTCTTTCTCTGTCCCTCCTTTCTTGCCTCACTTCCTGATGGGCACTCGAGCCTATATTCTCTTTGCTGCTACATACTGCCTTTCGTGAGAGTGGAAGAGACGAAGGGGAGGATCATTTTCTGCTACTATTTTTATTAACACTTGGATTGCCAGCTTGTGTGTGGAGAGCTTCATTTGACAAGTGTCACCTCATCTAACACCTGTTTTTTTTCCTTTCTCACCCCTGTTCAGCGCTTCGGGCACTGTGTACACGGCCATGGATGTAGCCACGGGACAGGAGGTAAGTATCCACCACCAACTGCTGCTCCTTCAGTTGGACTGTTTCTTACTCTTTCTTGTTAAGCTTTAGCCCTTCTTAGCTCAACAGGGACTCTTCTAGTTTCTTATATTGTAGACTAGAAGTCTTTCAACATGGTGAAACTTAGGTTTTGGAAAGTTACTGTGGCTGCAAGGTGGAGAAGAGATTTGAAGAGATAAGTGTGGAACAGGTGACTCAGCAGGTTATTGGGTAATTCCATGTGAGAGATGATGTCTGGACTAAGGTGGTAGCACATTATAAATGGGGGAAAGTGATGTATTTGAGAGGTACTTATGTAGATTTGACAGTTTGGTGAATGTGAGGATGACTCACAAGTAGTGATATGTGTGTGTGTTCTCAGTTGTGTCCGCTCTTTGTGGCCCCATGGAATATAGCCCACCAGGTTATTCTGTCCATGGGATTTTTCAGTCAAGAATACTGGAATGGGTTGGCATTTCCTTATCCATGGTGCCTTCCCGACCCAAGGACCAAACCTGCATCTCTTGTGTTTCCTATATTGGCAGGTGGATTCTTTACCACTAGCACCACCTGGGAAGCCCAAGTGAGTGATCAGAGGAAGTATAGATTTGAAGAAGTTAGATAGTGCCTGAGAGACCTTGTGAAACTGCCTGGTGGGCAGTTTTACAAATTTGGTGCTTGGGAGAGAAATCTGATATAGAAGAGATTTAAAACCTTGTCTCTTTCTCGAATCTGGTGGGTCTTCCATTACTCTGTGCCTAGGATTCTGGTAGACATTGAAATTCTCATTTGGAGGCACCTCTTTGTCTCTCACGTTTCATAAGCTGGGAAATCTCTGATCTTATTGCTAAGGCCTGATGACCCAAGATCTTATCTTCAGCAGAAGGAAACCAAGAAGGGAATCTAGAATGCTTGAAGTTTGTTTTCCCTGTACTCTTTGGTTGCAGAGCAGGAATGTTGGCAGGTGGGTTGTGGATGGGAGTTACCTGGGAAAGGTCTTAGTTCAAAGACGGGTCTCAGAACTTGAGAGGCACCTCTTGTTCTAATGAAAATAGAGTTGGGCTCCTCTGAGGGAGGTAATTAGGACCTGCTTGTATATGTTTGGTGGTTGAAACCCCATGATGTACTGGAGAAGTCACATAACTCACTGTGCTCTTGTCAGGCTTTTACAAGTGTCTGAGGCAAATACTGAGGCTCCATTGAGGGTAAGTCAACTTCAAAAAAAATTATGTTGAAAGATTTATTAATTGTTCTTTGATGTGAGAACCAGATAACTAGATGTTTACCTTTAGTGGATAGTGAAAGTTGCTCATTTGTGTCCGACACTTTGCGACCCCATGGACTATACAGTCTATGGGATTCTCCAGGCCAGAATACTGGAGTGGGTAGCCTTTCCCTTCTCCAGAGGATCTTCCCAACCCAGGGATAGAACTCAGGTCTCCCTCATTGCAGGCAGCTTCTTTACCAGCTGAGCCACAAGGGAAGCCCAGATGTTTACCTTTACTTACTTATAAAAGCTTGGAAAAGTCATTTGACCTCTGGAGCTTGAATTTTATTTCTTTATAAAACATTCATGATAACATACACCTCACAAGACTGTTAAATAAGTTATGTGAAGCAATGCATTTGAAAAATACATCATAAACTAAGAATTACATATATATTAACTTTTATCTGCACATATTTGTTTGACACAGTGTTTACTGATCATTTGCTTTATACTACACTTATGCTAAGAACTATGAAAGATTCAGACATTAAAAACATATATATGGAAGGCGGACTGGAGCCGTTGGACTGGACACAATCCGAAGGGTCAGGGAGCGCGGGATGCGAGTGTGGAGCTTGGATTTCAGAGTGTGGCTAGCAGCTAGCCACGATGGGCGGGGAGCAGGAGGAGGTTCGGTTCGACGGCATGTTGCTGGCTATGGTGCAGCAACACGAGGGCGGCGTGCAGGAGCTGGTGAACACTTTCTTCAGCTTCCTTTGACGCAAAACCGACTTCTTTGTTGGAGGAGAAGAAGGCATGGCAGAAAAGCTTATCACACAGACCTTCAACCCCCACAACCAGCTGGCACAGAAGGCCCGGTGGGAGAAGCGAGCTCGGCAGGAGACTGAACGGTGGGAGAAGGCGGAGTGGGCAGCCAGGTTGGCCAAGGAGGCCAAGTCAGAGACCTCTGGGCCCCAGATCAAGGAACTGACTGAGGAGGAGGTCGAGAGGCTACAGCTGGAAATTGACCAGAAAAAGGATGCCGATAATCAGGAGGCCCAGCTCAAGAATGGCAGTCTTGACTCCCCAAGGAAGCAGGAGGCCAAGGAGGAGGAGGACGAGAAGGACAAAGGGAAACTGAAGCCCAACCTTGGCAACGGGGCGGACCTACCCAGTTACTGCTGGACCCGGACCCTGTCGGAGCTGGACCTGGCCGTTCCATTCTGCGTGAACTTCAGGCTGAAGGGGAAGGACATGGTGGTGGATATCCAGCGGAGGCATCTCTGGGTGGGGCTCAAGGGACAGCCAGCGATCGTGGATGGGGAGCTCTACAACGAGGTGAAGGTGGAGGAGAGCTCATGGCTCATCAAGGTGGTGACGGTGCATCTGGAGAAGATCAACAAGATGGAGTGGTGGAGCCGCTTGGTATCCAGTGACCCCGAGATCAATACTAAGATCAACCCCGAGAACTCCAAGCTGTCAGACCTGGATAGTGAGACCCATCGCATGGTGGAGAAGATGATGTATGACCAGAGACAGAAGTCCATGGGGCTGCCTACCTCGGATGAGCAGAAGAAACAGGAGATTCTGAAGAAGTTCATGGGTCAGCATCCAGAGAGAGACTTTTCCAAGCCCAGATTCAACTAGCCCCTGTGTTTGCTCCCCTGAACTCTCCAGGCTGAGCTCCTGGCTCCCCATTTTCCTCTCCCACCCTCCCTGGGACTGGTGGGCTGCAGGGCCAGGGCAGGCACAGGTCTGGCCGGCACACACGGTCCCAGGCCATTATGGGAGAAGGGCTGGGCCTTGGAGGGTATTGTCCTCCCCAGCTGGCCTGCTGTTACACATTAAAACTATTTACCCCCCCCAAAAATAAATAAAAACATATATATGTATAAGTGTAAGAAACCATACTTTCTGTTGTGTACATATAAAACTCTTATAATGCTTACAGAAACCTGTGTTGAAATAATTGTAAGGAAGGAAGGAAGGATGGTATCATTTTGCTGATTTAAATATGCTATATTAGAGGCAGAGATAGAAAAGAGGAGGTTATACCAATACTAGAAAGAACCCTACACAGTAGGCAATATTACTTCCTTTTTGCTGATGAGAAATTTGAGGCTTGGGGTTAAAGTAACTTTTGCGGGGTTGTGCTGCCAGGAGTTAACAAGGACTGGGTTAGAATCTTTTGATTCTAAAATCTTAACTTGTGTTTTCTTGACTGCTAGGCTGCAGTAAGGTTTGGCACCATGGCCCCTTGTCATATTTCTGACCTCTGGAGCCTCATAGCCCTTGATGGGAGGCAGGCTGGTGCTGGCTGGTTCCTGGACGATCTGGAGCTGTGTGTGAGAGAAGCTGGCCACGGGAAACAAGCTTGATGTCATGTGCTTGCTTTGTGGTTACAAAACTATGAATGGAAGCAAGTCCATTAGAGTGGCTAATGCAGTGTAGCCAGGAAGGCCTCATTTTCTCCCCCAGGGAGTATAAATCTTTAGTGGAGCTGGCGGGATGCTCTGTCTTTGTGAGTGACTTCCTATTGGGAGTTCCCCGATGGAAAAGGAGAGCTATTATCTGTCACATGTAGGAAGATTAGCATGTTAGTGCTGGAAGTCTTCTAGTTCTAGACCCGATAATTAATGTTCAAGCCCTTTAGAGGGAATGTGTGTAATAGAGAAAATAGACTGGAAGACGCTTTGAAGTCATACAAGCCTGAAGGCATTGATTATGACCTTGGGCAACTTCCTTGTAAGTCTTGGTCTTCATTTTCTTATCTGAAAATGCAGAGGATGATTTTCACTTGACAGGGTTGTTAAGTTTTACAGAGACAATGTCAGTCGAGCACCTAACACTGTGTGATGGGAGAGTGGTTGGTTTTTGCTGTCATTCCTGCTGATTATGTTGTCATTTTTGCTGCTCTGTGCCAAGTACTCATCAAATGCAGTTATAACAGTGATTAGCATTTTCACTGTTGTCTTACTGTATTATTTAAATTTCTTATGTATGAGTGACACGTTGGCCACTATTTCTTTTAGTTCCCAAAAGAATCCTATGAGGAGGGAAATCAGGGTGGGGATTATTATCCTTAGTATTGATAAAGAGATGGAGGCTCAGGGAGCTTGTGATTGGTCAAGGCTGGTAAGTGACAGAATCAGCCCCAGAGCTTAGGCCCTCAGAGTTCAAGTCCAGCTCTTTTTCTGTTATGGGAGTGCTGTCTGCTGGCTTGAGTTAGGAGAGATCTGATTAGGTGAAGGGTGTTTAGCCTAGCCCATGTTTAGTCAGTAGTTATTGGAAAGGACTGTCCCCTCCTCTGTCATCCATGGCCTGCCTCTCTTCTCCCTTGCTGCTGCCAGCAGTGACCTCTGTGAAGTTCACAAGCACTGTCCCATCCTCCAGGATGGCCTTAGGAACTGCACAGGGTCCAGATCTTAATATGTGTTATAAGGGCTTACAGTCTTAATGTGATGGGCCTTTAGATCAATGTTTTCCTCTTCAGATGTTAGAAAAAGCTAACATCATGTGTTACAGAAAACTGTAGCCAGACCAGAAGCCTTCCCTGATAGGAGACCCTACTCCAAAGCAATTTTTTCTCACTTAGGGTAGGGAGCAGAGGTGGTTAAAATGTTTAAAAAAATGAGTTTCTGTTCTTACTGATAAATGACTCTTGGCAGAAGACTGTCCATACTTGATTTGAAGAAATAATAGAGTTGGGAGTTTTCCCATAAAAGTTGAATTATTCATCTTTTACTTTTCTGGATGATTCTGGAATGACTAGTTGTAGTTGTTCTGTTAGATGTTCATGTTCTTCACTGTTATTTCTAGGAAATAAACACTTAAATAATTTGAAGTCTAGTCCTGTGGGATGGAGGAGCCTATTGCTGATGCTCTTTGTGGTTTAAAAACAATTTATGGTGACTTTTTATATGCCCTCTATCCCAAGACTATGGCCAGAGGGATGTTAAGGTCACCAAGAATAATTTGGAGGTGGCCAAGGACTTGTTTTTAAAGTGTTTTCAAGTCTACCGATAACTCTTGACATTTAGAAATGAGTAAGATATGAATGTTTAAAATCATGTTTTCTTTAAAAAAAAATAAATAAATAAAGATAAAAACAAAGTATTTATCAACCCACTAAATTCTATCTTTTCCTCATCATTGCCAAAAAGATTTGCTGAGCACACACTGTATCGGGCCCTGTGCTTGGCACCAGGGATTCTGAGCTTTCAAACGAGCTCTCAAGTGTCTCGAAGTACACACCCTAACTAGTCATCATACAATTCAGTATGTGGGGAGTTCCCCAAGTGATGTGTAAATACGGTCCTATAGGGCTTTAAAGAAGGCAAAAAACCTCTCTGGTTTGGAGAACGAATTTTCTTTTGGTCTGATACAAAGTATAAGAAGGTTTTGAACATGTGAAAACAGTGTAAGATGTTCCAAATGGAGAGAAGCTCAGATATGAGCTTACATCTTTCATTGTAGCATATGAAAGAATACAGTGAGAAGTAAGATAGAGGTCAGATCAGAAGGACTTTGAATGTTGGGAACATTCTCTCAGAACATCTCTTGGAACATCTCTCAGAACAGGAACCTTTTAAATTTAGAATCTGGGAGAGTGTTATCAAATGTGTACAGTGGGGAAGATTAATCTGGCTCTGTGTGCAGAATAAATGGGCATCGCTTTTGAGATTCTAATCCTGATTTTGCTAATGAATTGTTGGGTTTACAAGTCACATATCCTCGCTAAATTACAATTTCTTCATCTGTCAAACATGGTCAGCAGTAATATTTAAGTCATAACGTATCTCAGAGGATTAAATGAAATATGTTTGAAAATATTCTTTGTAGTACCTGACACACTGCAAAAATGGATGCACATATCCCTTAAGTTGGTATTATGTGAAAATTTGTGTATTTCTATAGACAAAAAGCCTATCAAGATCTTTTTCATACATAAACATTAAGGATCCCCCTTTTCTATTCTCTCTTAACCTGGTCAACTCTGATTTACTTTTCCACAGTTTAAAAAGGCCTTTTTAAAGCCTCTACATTGATAGTGTGAAAGAGTTCTTGCCAGTTTTATGTTTCTGTAACATTTTGTGTGGGCTTTTGTTAAACCATATGTCTTTTATATTGTGAGTTTTAAAAGTGTTTTTTTCTAATATAAGTATTTTGTAGCAAGTTTGATCTTCAAACTTTGGTTCACATTAGAATTACTTGGAGGGCTTGTTAAAATACAGGGTTTTGAGGAAAAGGAAGTCCCTATTTATCAGTACTTGAGCTTGGATTAAGTAGCGATCTAAGAAGGTAGAGAGATGAATGGAAAGATCAGTTTTAAAATTCTTTTACTTCCTCATTTAAATTCTTCATAACCATGTATTATCCTCACCTCCAGTGACACCAGTACCAATGCCAAGTAATAAATGATCCTTATACTTAGCAAGTGAACTTTTCCATTAAATAGAAAATTTGTACAAACCACCCCCCCCTCCCCAAAAAAAAAAAAAACCCACAGAGTTTCTGATTCAGTAGATTTGGTTGGGGCCTGAAAATTTTCATTTCCAGCACATTCCCAGATAATGTTGATGTTGCTGGACTTTGCATTGAGTATCATTGGTCACCAGTGGTAAACTGTGAGTTCCTCAAGGGCTCAGACCATATTTTATTCATCTCTGTCTCCTAAGTGTTTATGTCTGGTACTTTATAGGTGCTCAGTAAATTCAGAGTGATTCTGGTTATACATTGAGTGTACTTTGATTTCAGGTGGCCATTAAGCAGATGAACCTTCAGCAGCAGCCGAAGAAAGAGCTGATTATTAATGAGATCCTGGTCATGAGGGAAAACAAGAACCCAAATATTGTGAACTACTTGGACAGGTATGGCGTGGTAGTCCTGTTAGAGAAATAAGGCCTCTGGGACTGATGGATGGTAGTGCTATTAGAGAAGGCAACACCAGCACTCAGAACTGTTTCCATTCAAGAATCTTTTAATTTTTAAAAAAAAGGACAAGGACCTTAAAATGTTAATTCCTACAGACATGTATGTCTGGCACCTCCTCTTTTTAGTCACAAACTCAATTATGCAGAAACTAGAGGCTTTGAAGTTTGGGTGTAAATTGAAAATGAATTACCTTTGATATTTTAAAATGTCAGAATAGGTATTAAAGCACTTGCTTGAAGGCTTAGAATAAATAATTTCAAAAGCCATAAAAAAATTTTACCTAACAGTTTTTTGGAAGGCTGAAATTTCTTAAGACTAATTAGAAAGCCCTTTTAGGGGGTAAAGTAATTTTTCTTTCAGGTCACTCCTGAACCAGGAAAAAAATAACTACATTTATTCAAAACAACAAAACATTCAGAGATGTACTAAACTTGTGACACAGAAAAGTGTTACTGTTTAAAATAATTCCCTTTTTCAGTGGAATGATAGTGGAATTAAAATAAGTAGACATTTTTAAAATTAAGCATATTGGTATGAAAATGGCTAGCTTGGATTGTCTGCTATGAAAGGAGATCCTTCAGGCGCTACTAGGTCTTTAAGGTGCCACATCAGTCTTAGTGGGGAAGTACGAAACGAGACACGTTATATTTTACCGAATGTAGTAGTCAGCAGTGAAAGCATTTCAACAGTATTACAGCTTTTATTGTTAATTGGAGTAATGTATTACTCCACTTCTCGAATTTTTATGTAATAGCATTATAACCTATAAGTCACTTGAACTAAAAGCTTAATATTGTGAAGGAAAAAAGTACCTTTAAATGAATGCTATCTGACACACACACACGGTTTTGACTAATTGTGAATTGAATTCAACTTAAGCTTGTGTATATGTGATTCATTGTGTTTGTGTGCTTGACCATTGTATATTTCTGGAGGTGAATTTCCAGAATTGATCAGTGCAAATCTTACTGTGTTGTCTTCATTTCTTCTTCTGCCTTTTGCTTAATAAAAATTATTCAAGCAAAAAAAAAAAAAAAAAGAATCTTTTAAGGTGCTCAGCTCTGTGCCTCTGAGCCTGCATGTTGCTGGACATCTCTAACGGCCGCACAGTCTTCTGGGTTAGGATGAGCCCTGCCATCCTACAGCTTCTCCCAGCTGGTCCTGCCCCAGATAATGCCTTCAGCCCATCTGCCTGAGTCAGATGCAAAGGTCTTTAAATCATTCTGCATCTTAAATCTTTTCCTCATCCTGCTTACCCTGCTGAATAACTGCTAGTTTGTCTGTATTATCTTAAAATGTGACATTCAGTAGTTTTGTTCGAGGTTTGAGCTGTATGGAGAGAGTACAACCCCTCCTTTGTTCCAAACTCTATGGAACTTGATTTCATTCTTTTTTTGTTGTTCTTCATTAAAATTTTTCGTTTTAAATTTTAAGTGTTCTATTTTCATTGTTGACCCCTAGTAGGTATGTAGTCAGTTCAAATCTCTGATCCCTTTTTTTTTTTTTTTTTCTTAACAAGAGCTTGCCTTAAACTGGTAACATAGATTTTTGGTTATCTTCATTAAATTCCATTTTGATTCTTTTAACCCATCTTTCCAGCCTGTAAGAATTCTGCTCTTTAATAATAAGAGTTGTAGCTAATATTTGTGTTATGCTTTTCTTTGTACTAAGCACTTTTGTGACTAGCAGTATCTTATTATAAGGTAGGGTTTATTGTCTGTATTTTACAGATGAAGAAACTGAGATTCATAGAAGTTAATAACTTGTCCAAGACCAGTAAGCCAGTAAGTAGCAAATGAGGGTTTTGGATTTGAATATTCCTAGCATTAACATCCATGCCCTTTCCATCATATTATGTTCTTTTCTACCGTATCTGAACAAAAAAAGTGCTTCTTGCCTGGGTTTCAGAAACATCAGAGGTGAAGGTGATATTGGACCAAGTCTTGGACTCTCAGTAATTTTTCTTGCTATTTATCGTGCATTGCCACCTTGTTTTCATTGCTGCCAGATTATGCCAGATTTCTTGTTCTGAATCTAAAAGTGGTAAGCATTCATTTCTTTAAAGAGGAAAGGAGTTGGACTTTGGCCTTCTCTGTTTTGGAGATGATAGTCTCTCCATGATGTAGGTCATGACTGACTCTGAAGAATCCTCTGAAGTTATTCATCCTCCCATCTCTTTTAAGAACTTAATTATATGGAGAATAAAGCATGGATAAGCTTCTGAAGGTTATAAGGATACCACATTTTGGCTCAGGATAAGGAAAAATGAAAGCTGTCTTAAGGGTATGGCCTATCTCATAAAATAGTGAGTTCTTCATTAGTGGAGGTAAGTAAACAACAAAATGCATGTGGTTGAATGAATCTGTGTTCTGGGAATGGGATTAGAAGGTTTATAAATTGTTTGTTTATCATGCCTTTGCCGGTGTTTTCAGAGGCTTATTATATTCTGTAGTCAGAAATAATTAGGCTCAGTCCCTGCCATCAGTCAGTCTGGTGTAGAAAAACATACCTAGGAGCTCTTGCTGGAGGAGAAGAGTGGGTACTCTTAAGCTGAACATTCAGTGAAGGTGCTACATTTGAGAATCTGTGGTTTTCGTGAGTTCCCAGAGGAGAACTCTATTCATATTTTTTCTTCTCTAAATATGGGATGCTCTGAAGCTTTTTTGATGGTATTTTGGCACAGTGTGTAGCTGCATAGTAATTGAGACAACATGAATCTGGTCTTGAGAGCATTATGTGAGGCCCAGCTAAAGGGACTCTGCTTTGTCGGTGTCCACATAATCTTTTGTACACTCGTGTCTTCCCCCCAGGCAGTCCAAGTTGACAGATGTCTTTTCAGTGTGCTGGGGGATGGTCTATAAATGCACATTCTTTGTCAGGGGTGAAATAGGCTTATGCCAGTGGAGGGCTTTTTACCCAGTCCTGAATTCTCTTTTGGTCCAAGTCCCCACAGTCTTCTCATAAGAGATTGTTGAAGGAGAAATTAATCTGTCATATTTATTCTTCATGGACATTAAAAAATTGCAAGACTTTGATGTATAAAGAATGCATAATATTATGGAAAGAGGACTGAACTGATTAATAGGCAAAAGAGTAGGATTTAAATCTTATCCTTTACTTGAGACTATTTATTTTTTCCAGTAGCCTCCCATCTGCCCAGCAGTAGTCCCAATATGAGGATGAAGATGAGATGACATACCACACAGCTCAAGCCAATCCAGTCTGCCTCCTTTGTCTAAAGCTAGCGCAAGAGTTTGTAGAGCTTTAGACTGTCTTTGTTGTTTATTTGTCTTATTTTATAGCAGAGGAAACTGACAGGCTAAGTGACCTTTTTTCTTATCATATAACAGAGCTGAGTGATCCAGTCCCTGAGTGAAACTATCAGTTTTAGCCTTTCTCAGCCCCACAGTCTCTCTAGTGATACAGTACTAAATTGGAAACCCTTGGCTTCCAGAAGAGGCTTTGGTTCTGCAACCCTTACTGAATTTATTCCCTTCTTAGAATCAGAGATGTTCAAAATGGAGATCATTGCCAGCAGAATGGCTGTGTGTATAAAACTCTACAGCTTCTTAATGGTTTTTATAACCATTACTTTATTTAACATTTACAGTTATCTTTTATTTTACTCATTGATTTATTCAGTAAATAATGGCATCTATTGTGCCACTCTCTCTGGGGATGGAATCTTGAACATGACCTGGTACTGGTCTCATGAATCTCAAATCTAGTAGAACTCTCAAGGATGTTTAGTGACTTCCCTAATATTGGTAACATGGACTCCAGATCCCATCTTTGTCAGACATTTGGGTACTCTCTGCTTTCTTGCTTCTAGAGGTGTGGGAACCATGCCTGATTTTAAGAAATACTGCTTTGTGTCGTGATGAAATAAAATTTTATTGCATTTTCAACCTAGTGATTTTAGTTCTGACTTTTGGAGCATCACAGGACAGTCTACTTTGTTTTCTCTAGTCGAATCCTTAAGAGATGTCAAGCTAGTGAACCAGTCCCATAGATTCTGCTTTCCTTCAGAAAAAAGGACAGCTTTCAGAGTTGAGGGAAATGCAGAATCACTCTGTGTATATGCTTGTCGTTTGAAAGCCACTGCTGTGGCTCAGTGTACCCTACTCAGTGTATTCCTACTCACCTTTTACCCTTACCCCTGCAGTTACCTCGTGGGAGATGAGCTATGGGTTGTCATGGAATATTTGGCTGGAGGTTCTTTGACAGACGTGGTAACGGAAACTTGCATGGACGAAGGTCAGATCGCAGCTGTGTGCCGTGAGGTAAGGCCAACAGCCAAATCAGACTTGAGCAGGACATATCTTGAGCTTCCATATCTATGTATCTCAGGGTTCTGCATCTGATGGGATCTAAGCATGGGCACTGTAGAGGTGGGAGAAATTAGTTGTACTCTCCCATCATCCTTTTATGATACCTGTTTTGAGATTTTTATCACCATTCCTTTTTCTTTAAAGGTAACTATATTCTGAAAGAAAGTTTATATATATATACATATATATAATCATGTATTATTTCAGCCTCTTAAAAATAGCTGCTGTGAACACTTATTTCCTTTGTCTCTTTAATATCGGTATATATTTTAGTCATATTTTTTTATTCTGCTTTCCTGCTTTATTCATGTGTTATAAAGGAAATAAAGCAGAGTAAAGAGAGTGACAGAGGAGGTACTATTTCAGATAGTCAGGGAAGGTTTGCCATATATTTGAGTAAAGATCTGAATGATATGAGAAAGTAAGCCAAGCAGAAATCTAGGGTAAAATACTTCCAGGCGAAAGAAATAGGAAACAAAGTTTAAATCAGTATTCTCTCTCCTCATTGCTGTCAAATGTTTAAAGTCTGTAAAATGGACAAAGGATTAATCTCAAAAATATACAAGCAACTCCTGCAGCTCAATCCCAGAAAAATAAATGACCCAATCAAAAAATGGGCCAAAGATCTAAACAGACATTTCTCCAAAGAAGACATACAGATGGCTAACAAACACATGAAAAGATGCTCAATATCACTCATTATGAGAGAAATGCAAATCAAAACCACAATGAGGTACCATTATACACCAGTCAGAATGGCTGCTATCCAAAAGTCTATAAGCAATAAATGCTGGAGAGGGTGTGGAGAAAAGGGAACCCTCTTACACTGTTGGTGGGAATGCAAACTAGTATAGCCACTATGGAGAACAGTGTGGAGATTCCTTAAAAAACTGGAAATAGAACTGCCATATGACCCAGCAATCCCACTCCTGGGCATACACACTGAGGAAACCAGATCTGAAAGAGACGTGTACCCCAGTGTTCATCGCAGTACTGTTTATAATAGCCAGGACATGGAAGCAACCTAGATGCCCATCAGCAGACGAATGGATAAGGAAGCTATGGTATATATACAACATGGAATACTACTCAGCAATTAAAAAGAATACATTTGAATCAGTTCTAATGAGATGGATAAAACTGGAGCCCATTATACAGAGTGAAGTAAGCCAGAAAGATAAAGACCAATACAGTATACTAACGCATATATATGGAATTTAGAAAGATGGTAACGATAACCCTATATGCAAGACAGAAAAAGTGACACAGATGTATAGAACAAACTTTTGGACTCTATGGGAAAAGGGGAGGGTGAGATGATCTGAGAGAACAGCATCGAAACATGTATATTATCAAGTGTGAAACAGATCACCAGCCCAGGTTGGATGCATGAGACAAGTGCTCGGAGCTGGTGCACTGGGATGACCCAGAGGAATGGGATGGGGAGGGAGGTGGGAGGGGGGGTTCAGGATGGGGAACACATGTAAATCCATGGCTGATTCATGTCAATGTATGACAAAAACCACTACAATATTGTAAAGTAATTAGCCTCCAACCAATAAAAATAAATGAAAAAAAAGAAAAGAAAAAAAGATCTGTAAGATGCTTGTATAAGGAGGGAGAATAAAAACCTTGGCAAGGCCTACATGAGAAGCAGTGTCCTTAGGGGATGGCCACATCTTAAATTAGAGCGAGAGGATGAAGGGAGTATTTGGAGAAGTTGGGTGTATTGGGTGCTTTGCTGATAAGAGACTGAAAGTTTCTCATAGCCTAATAGTATAAAAGTTTGGGAATTAGGGAAAGAGTACATGATTAAGTGGTTAGAAGATTAGGTTCAGAGTTTTATGGGGATGAGTATGCCTAGGGTTTGATGGTAGAAGAATTAGAAGCATGCAGATGAAATTACATGGTTTTGTAATAATACTAGGAAAAATAAAGTCATGTGAAATCACTACTGTCCTCGAAAATATAATCATCTTTTCATTAAAAACCCTGGGATCTAGAACACATACATAGGTAGGTTAATGGAATTAACACAGGCCTGGGATTCTTAGGAGATCTGATTTATTGTCTTTATTGTGCCACTGAGGTGGTGTTTCTCAAATTTTTTCATTATCCTCCCTCCCCCACCAGGAAACTTTCAAGACGTTTTTTCCTAATCACATTTCCCCCATGAAATTTAATATCATAGATAAACTATATATCTGTTTATATTCTGGGGACGTTTGGAAATGCAGAGTTTCTGTAATATCTAAGATGTTATTCATTTCAGTCATCTGAAGAACTGACTTTTACTGATTGAGATACATGCAAATATATGCTTGGGGAAATCAATATGTCTCAAGTGATTTATCTTAGGAATTTCTACATTCATAATGTGTATACCTTAGGGGTACACGTGGATCATAAAGCACTTGGAAAAACATTTAAATGTTATGCAAATACATGGCGTTACTATTATCCATAAGTTCTCATAGAAATAATGCACCTTTCTAAAAATATTATTCACCCATTTAAAGTGCATAATTTAAAAGGTATTAGTATATTTAGTTATACAGCTATCACCATAATCAGTTTTAGAACATTTGCATCACCCTAGAAAGAAACAGAGTGTTCAAACTTACCGCACAATTCCACTCATCTCACATGCTAGCAAAGTAACGCTCAACAGTCTCCAAGCCAGGCTTCAGCAGTATGTGAACTGTGAACTTCCAGATGTTCAAGCTGGATTTAGAAAAGGCAGAGGAACCAGAGATCAAATTGCCGACATTTGTTGGATCATCGAAAAAGCAAGAGAGTTCCAGAAAAACATCTACTTCTGCTTTAATAACTATGCCGAAGCCTTTGACTGTGTGGATCACAACCAATGGTGGAAAATTCTTCACCCTGCTTATTTAACTTATATGCAGAGTACCTCATGCAAAATGCCGGGCTAGATGAGCACAAGCTGGAATCAAGATTGCTGGGAGAAATATCAATAACCTCAGATATGCAGATGACACCACTCTTATGGCAGAAAGCAAAGAAGAACTAAGGAGCCTCTTGATGAAAGTGAAAGAGGAGAATGAAAAGGCTGGCTTAAAACTCAACATTCAGAAAACCAACATCATGGCATCTGGTCCCATCACTTCATGGCAAATAGATGGGGAAACAATGGAAATAGTGAGAGACTTTTATTATTTTGGGCTCCAAAGTCACTGCAGATGGTAAGATGCTTGCTCCTTGGAAGAAAAGTTATGACCAACCTAGACAGCATATTAAAAAGCAGACATTACTTTGCCGACAAAAGTTCCATCTACTCAAAGCTATGGTTTTTCCGCTAGTCATGTATGGATGTGAGAGTTGGACTATAAAGAAAGCTGAGCACTGAAGAATTGATGCTTTTGAATTCGTGGTGTTGGAGAAGACTCTTGAGAGTCCCTTGGACTGCAAGGAGATCCAACCAGTCTATCCTAAAGGAAATCAGTCTTGAATATTTGTTGAAAGGACTGATGGTGAAGCTGAAGCTCCAATACTTTGTCCACTTGATATGAAGAACTGACTCATTTGAAAAGACCCTGATGCTGGGAAAGATTGAAGGCAGGAGGAAAAAGGGATGACCGAGGATGAGATGGTTGGATGGCATCACCGACTCGATGGGCATGAGTTTGAGCAAGCTCCGGGAGCTGGTGATGGACAGGGAATCCTGGCGTGTTGCAGTCCATGGGGTCGCAAAGGGTCAGACACAACTGAGCAACTGAACTGAACTGAAAAAGAAACTCCATACCTATTAGCAGTCACCCCCAGCTGCCCCCACCCAACCTATTTCCCATCCATTCCAGCCTTATGCAGTCACTAGTCTATTTTGTTTCTCTATAGATTTGCTTGTTCCATGTATTTCATATAAATGTAATATGTGCTCTGATTGGCTCATTTTGCTTAGTATAATATTTTGAAGGCTCATCTGTTTTATAGCATATGTTCTTTTATTAACAGGTAAGATTCTGTTTATTTGCCTGTCCATCAACTGATGGACATTTGGGTAATTTACACTTTTTGACTCTTACAGATAATGCTGTGAACATTCATGGATAAGTTGTTGGTTAAATATGTTTTCACTTCTCTTGGGTGTGTGCCTAGAAGTGGGTCTTCTGGTCATGTAGAGACTTTATGTTTAATATTTTGAGGACTGGCCAAAATGTTTACCATAGTGGCTGTACCATTTTATATTCCCACCAGCAATGCATGATGGTTCCAATTTCTAGAAATCATCCTTTCTGTTTATAACTTTTGACATCCAGAGGCCAAAGTCTCTAGCCTCCTTAGGAAAACAGGTCTTACTTTTCCAGGGAAAGCCTCTTCTGGATATTGGTTTGTTTTTAATTTAGCCATTGATGTATTCTTAGAAAGTGAAGTATTAAGTTGAGGATATTTCAATAGTGTCCTCTAATTCGTTTGCATCTTTTTCATGTTTTTAGAGGTAGAAGCCTCTAAAATTTAGCTTTGGGTTATGATCTTACTAATAGATTGAGTAGTAACCTTGAGAGTATCTTTTCTGATCCCCACCTTTTACAGATGGAAAGACAGTAGCCCAGAGGGAATAAGAGATTTGTCTAGAATAATGTTATTGGTCAGAACCAGGCATTTTTATTATTGTTTTCAGTTGCCATATTGCTCATTCTGCCTATTGAGTCTGTGTGTTTTCCAAGGTTCTTTTCTTTCTTCCTTATTTCCTATAGCATTTGCCAATTTCAACCATTACCATAACTTAAAAGCTTGTAAACATTTCTTTCAAGTCCAGCCTCTCTACAGTACTCAAGATTCACACCTGCAGTTGCCTGCTGGACATTTGTCTGCAGATGTTTTTGGGAATGTGAAAACCAGAATACAGCAAACAGTACAAACTTACCTCCTCACCAAAATAAGATTATCTTCCTAAATTCACGGCTTTTAGTATCATTTCGATTTGTTTAGTTTCCCAAATGTGACTCTTATTTGTCATTTTCCTACAGTTTTTTTCTTTACAAAATCCTTTCCATTCTTCCTCAGTATTTTTTTTTTTTTGCCTTGGGTTCTTTGTCAAGGTGCTAATGTTCTGTAAACAATTCTAAAACATTTTGGAGGAACTCCTGTACCTAAAACTATTATAAGCTGTGTTACAGTACACTGTGGTCAAGTATCTTATAAGAAAGGTATGAGGCAGCATCGAGTATTAAAAGTATGTTTAGTAATGAGACAGGAGACTGGGTTTTAGACCTGCCTCTTCCATTTATTTGTAGTAAGTTCTTTTACTCATTGGGGCCTCACTTTTGTTATCACAAAATGAAGAGATTGGATTAGTTATTTTCTGTAAGTTTTCATAATTATTTGTCCTTTCTTTATCCTTCTGCCCAAATCACTTCAACAGTGCCTGCAAGCTTTGGAGTTTCTGCATTCGAACCAAGTTATTCATAGAGACATCAAGAGTGACAACATCCTGTTGGGAATGGATGGCTCTGTCAAGCTAAGTGAGTAGGAGTAATAATAACTTCTCTTCCCTCTGGAACCCTGTCGCCTCTGGGATAGTAATCATATAAGAATAGCTACAAGACTCACCAAAGAATCTATTTCCTTGGATATGCAGGCACTTTATATTACTCAGCACTATATAGGATGACATTTTTCCCCCACTCATTTATATGTTCAATGAAAAACATTTATTGTGATGGGCACCAAGGATACTTAGCCTGTATTTAAGTAGTTCTCAATCTACATGGGAAACATAAAATACATAATTAGAAAAAAGAGTTTAGTGTAATAACTTTCATTCATTCATTTAGCAAACTTTATAAAATGTCTGTTTATGTGGTTGGCCATCTGAGAATGAAACATGTGAGTAAAAACACAGTTCTTATTGAAGGCCTCGCAGTTAAGTAAACATATAATTGCAATATAATGGGAATGAATTGCAGGCAGAAGATTGTGTTTAGAAGTGTAAGGACTGAGAATCCAGACAAACAGGTTGTGTCATGGGTGGATGGGCAGCTTAGGGGAAGACTGTTAGCAGTCTGTACCCTGGGGCACAAGGGGAGGAACTTATTAAAGCAGGGTCATACCTCAGTTCAGTGAAGTGGCTCAGTCGTGTCCAACTCTTTGCGACCCCAACTGCAGCACGCCAGGCCTCCCTGTTCATCACCAACTCTGAAACTTGCTCAAACTCAAGTCCATCGAGTCGGTGATGCCATCCAACCATCTCATCCTCTGTCATCCCCTTCTCCTCCTGCCTTCAATCTTTCCCAGCATCAGGGTCTTTTCAAATGAGTCAGATAGCCAAAGTATTGGAGTTTCAGCTTCAGCATTAGTCCTTTCAACAAATATTCAAGACTGATTTCCTTTAGGATGGACTGGTTGGATCTCCTTGCAGTCCCAAGGGACTCAAGAGTCTTCTCCAACACCACAAATTCAAAAGCATCAATTCTTCAGTGCTCAGCTTTCTTTATAGTCCAACTCTCACATCCATACATGACTAGCGGAAAAACCATAGCTTTGAGTAGATGGAACTTTTGTCGGCAAAGTAATGTCTGCTTTTTAATATGCTGTCTAGGTTGGTCATAACTTTTCTTCCAAGGAGCAAGTGTCTTTTAATTTCATGACTGAAGTCACCATCTACAGTGATTTTGGAGCCCAGAAAATAAAGTCTGTCACTGTTTCCCCATCTATTTTCCATGAAGTGATGGGACCAGATGCCATGATGTTAGTTTTCTGAATGTTGAGGTTTAAGCCAGCCTTTTCACTCTCCTCTTTTACTTTCATCAAGAGGCTCTTTAGTTCTTCAATTTCTGCCATAAGGGTGGTATCATCTGTGTATCAGAGGTTATTGATATTTCTCCCAGCAATCTTGATTCTAGCTTGTACTTCATCCAGCCCAGCGTTTCTCATGATGTTCTCTGCATATAAGTTAAATAAGCAGAGTGACAGTACACAGCCTTTATGTACTCCTTTCCCGATTTGGAACCAATCTGTTGTTCCACGTCCAGTTCTAACTGTTGCTTCCTGACCTGCATACAGATTTCTTAAGAGGCAGGTCGGTGGTCTGATATTCCCATCTCTTGAAGAATATTCCACAGTTTGTTGTGATCCACACAACAGAGGCTTTGGTATAGTCAATAAAGGAGAAGTAGATGTTTTTCTGGAACTCTCTTTTTCAATGACCCAACGGATCTTACCAATTTGATCTCTGGTTCCTCTGCCTTTTCTTAAACCAGCTTGAACATCTGGAAGTTCACAGTTCATGTATTGTTGAAGCCTGGCTTGGAGAATGTTGACCATTACTTTGCTAGTGTGTGAGATGAGTGCAATTGTGCGTTAGTTTGAGCATTCTTTGGCATTGCCTTTCTTTGGGATTGGAATGAAAACTGATCTTTTCCAGTCCTGTGGCCACTGTTGAGTTTTCCAAATTTGCTGGCATATTGAGTGCAGCACTTTCACAGCATCATCTTTTAGGATTTGAAAGAGCTCAACTGGAATTCTATCACCTCCACTAGCTTTGTTTGTAGTGATGCTTCTTAAGGCCCACTTGACTTCACATTCCAGGATGTCTGGCTCTATGAACACCTATAAGACCTTCTAGAAGTAACACCCAAAAAAGATGTCCTTTTCATTATAGGGGAACTGGAATGCAAAAGTAGGAAGTCAAGAAACACCTGGAGTAATAGGCAAATTTGGCCTTGGAGTACAGAATGAAGCAGGGCAAAGGCTAATAGAGTTTTGCCAACAGAACGCACTGGTCATAGCAAACACCCTCTTCCAACAGTACAAGAGAAGACTCTACACATGGACATCACCAGATGGTGATGTATAATCAGACTGATTATATTCTTTGCAGCCAAAGATGGAGAAGCTTATACAGTCAGCAAAAAACAAGACCAGGGGCTGACTGTGGCTCAGATCATGAACTCCTTATTGCCAAACTCAGACTTAAATTGAAGAAAGTAGGGAAAACCACTAGACCATTTAAGTATGACCTAAATCAAATCCCTTATGATTATACAGTGGAAGTGACAAATAGACTCAAGGGATTAGATCCGATAGAGTGCCTGAAGAACTATGGATGGATGTTCGTGACATTGTACAGAAGATGGGAATCAAGACCACCCCCAAGAAAAAGAAATGCAAAAAAGCAAAATGGCTGTCTGAGGAGGCCTTACAAATAGCTGTGAAAAGAAAAGAAGCAAAAAGCAAAGGAGGAAAGGAAAGATATACCCATTTGAATGCAGAGTTCCAAAGAACAGCAAGGAGAGATAAGAAAGCCTTCCTCTGTGATCAGTGCAAAGAAACAGAGGAAAACAATAGAATGGAAAGACTAGAGATCTCTTCAAGAAAACTAGATATACCAAGGGAATGTTTCATGCAAAGATGGGCACAATAAAGGACAGAAGCAGAAGATATTAAGAAGAGGTGGCAAGAATACACAGAAGAACTATACAAAAAAGATCTTCATGACCCAGATAATCAGGATGGTATGACCACTAGAAGGTCTTGTAGGTGTTCTTAGAACCACTCAGCTTCAGCTTCCTCAGCATTACTGCTAGGGGCATAGACTTGAATGGTTTGCCTCGAAACGAACAGAGATTATTCTGTCATTTTTGAGATTGCACCTATGTACTGCATTTTGGACTCTTCTTGACTGTGATGGCTACCCCATTTTTTCTAAGGGATTCTTGCCCACAGTAGTAGATATGATGGTCATCTGAATTAAATTCACCCATTCCAGTCCATTTTAGTTCGCTGATTCCTAAAATGTTGATGTTCACTCTTGCTATATCCTGTTTGGCCACTAACAATTTGCCTTGATTCATGGACCTAACATTTCAGGTTCCTATGCAATATTGCTCTTTACAGCACTGGACTTTGCTTCTATCACCAGTCACATCCACAATTGGGTGTTGTTTTTGCTTTGGCTCCATCTGTTCATTCTTTCTGGACTTGTTTCTCCAGTAGCAAATGGGGCACCTACCGACCTAGGGATTTCGTCTTTCAGTGTCCTATCTTTTTGCCTTTTCATACTGTTCATGTGGTTCTCAAGGCAAGAATACTGAAGTGGTTTGCCATGTCCTTCTCTAGTGGACCACATTTTTTCATGCCTAGTTGTAGATGATTAAGTTTTCATGCCTAGGAAATAAAATAAAGACCTAGTAACCAGATATTGGTATATGGGGATGGTTTTCAGGAAGAAAGCAGAATTGGGGTAGGTAATAGAGGTCAGAATGGGCAGTTTAGCCTTTAATGCCTAGTGTTTCTGGTTTGAGGAGGGGTAGGAAGGCAGAACTCATGTTTCATGTTCTTCCTTAAAGCTGAACAGGGTACAGTCTAGGAGTAGGATATGAAGGTGGCAGTTGTGTGACTCCAGCTTTGGAGAGAGAACGGATGTAGTGGCTAGGACACAGGCAGAGCTTGATACCTCGAGGTAGGCACACATTCAGTATTTACAGAAGGAACACTCTGCATATGAATTGTTTCTATCTTTTCTGTTTCAGCTGATTTTGGATTTTGTGCTCAGATCACCCCAGAGCAGAGCAAACGGAGCACCATGGTGGGAACACCGTACTGGATGGCACCAGAGGTTGTGACCCGGAAAGCCTATGGGCCTAAGGTTGACATTTGGTCCCTTGGCATCATGGCTATTGAAATGATTGAAGGGGAGCCCCCATACCTCAATGAAAACCCTCTGAGAGTGAGTGTTACTAGCCCATATCAAGATGTTTGGGCTGTTGGATTTTTCTTTTCTGGATCAAACTAGGCAGTGATAAAGTATACATGCTTAAGGAAATGTAAATTAACAGTCATTCGTTCATGTATTCAGTGATTATTTGAGTTCTTAAGGGCAAGAAACTGTTCTGATAATAAGAAAACAAATTAATATATAGTAACAGAAGATAAGAGCTGTGAAATAAAGAGTAAGGGGCTTAAGAGAGTAAGAAGGGGAAGGAGGGAGAAATGTGTGTTTTATTCTAGGTAGAGAATGAGTTCCTCTAGTATAAGTTACCTGAGGAGAAATCTGAAGGAAAAAAACAGAATGAAAAAATAGAAAAATTAAAGAAAAAAGGAATGATCCTTGAGATTAATTTGATGTAAGAATTTTTGAGTTATCAAGTGTATAAAGAACTTGTTTAGAGAACATACTTGATACATCCTGGGGAAAACCAAGGAGACTAGTGTCCCTGAAGTAAGTGAGTACAGTGAACAAGGTTCTGACCATGTTAAGTTAAAATGTTTATTAGACATCTTAAGTGAAGGTATTGAGTAGAATTGGGCATAAGAGTTCAGAGTTCAAGAGTGAGCATTCAGGACTCGAAATACAAATTTATTAGTAGGTATTATATAGTTGGTTTATTTAAAAATCAGAGGTAGATGATAATAAGATCACTCACCTAGGAAGTGAGGTAGAGTACTGAGACCTGGGATACACTCATATTTACAAATTAGAGGAACCAGCAAAGTTGACCAATGAGCGGCCTTCCTGGTAGAAGGAGACCTGAGAGACGTGTCCCAGAGGCCAAGAGGACAGCGTATTTTGAGAAGGAGGATGGACCAGTGTCAAATGTGACTAAGCTGCATTTAAGATAATGCTAAGAAATGATCATTAGATTTGTCCGTGTAAAGGTTATTGATGACTTTGACAGTCAGTTTCACTGGAGTGATGGGAATGAAAGCCTGGTAGAGTAAATCCACCAGAGTGAAGAAATGACATGTATAAGCAGTTACTTTTCATCGTTTTCTTTCAAAGGAATTTTGCAGTTATGCTAATAGAGAAGTGAGTGGAGCCATATCTTGAAGTGGAGACTAGGGGGATTTTCTTTTTTTGTTTGTTTTGAAGATAATATTGTCATAGCATGTTTTTGTGCTCATGAGAATGATCTAGTAGAGAGAAAAATGGTCATGTACAAGAGAGATGTGACATCTGTAGAAGAGATAGTGATATCCTTAAGTAGATCAGGGGGTTGGATCAAGTACTGAAGTAAAGATCATCAAATTAGAACTTGGACAATTTATTATTATAATAGGAGAAGGAAAGCAGCGTATGTGAATATAGATACAAGTAGGTTGGTAATTTTGATCATGGGCAAATGTGAGAGTTATTCTGATTGTTTTTATTTTGTTGTTTATTCCAGCCTCTCACTCAGTGCCAGAATTCCCTGAGTTTTGTTGCTGATAGACAGTCATGTAATTTTAGCCGGTTACCTCTTGGATAATCTTAATTATTGAAAAGTGCTTTAGTGTACCAAACTGAAACTACCTTCCATAGTTTCTTCCCTTGGTTCCCAGTATTGCCCTGTGGACCCACATGCCATTCATCTTCCTCCACCTTAGAGTGGCCTTGAAAGTGATGATGAGTAATAGTGACAGAAATAAGACTGGGATCAGAATCAGAGGACATGAGCTTATGTAAACAGCATGATCCCAAGCATCTCTCTTTATGTTTTAGGACTTTATCTGTGAAATGGGGATGATAATTCTTGCCCTGCCTATTACTCAGAGTTATTGTGGTCATTAAATGAGATAGTGTTTGTGTAAACACTTTATGAAATAAAGTGCAGATTGCTTTAAAAGATTTAGTATGATTATGTTTTTCTTTACCTTTCCCAGGGGATGGCTTCATATTAGAGAACCAAGATGGCAGCAGTGAAACAGATTGCTCCTTTACAGAACAGTTCCTTTATATGTTCTTTTCCTGCTGGAAGAGATCAATTTATAGATGACTGAGATGATGGCACCAGGAATAATAAATTTCCTTCAGCAGATGGGCAGGTGTTTAACTCAGTAGGCTAAATGTGTAATAAACCATTTAGATTTAAGTCAATAATCATAATAAATCCTTGGATCTGTAACACACTTCATAAGCTTATGAAGTACTTTCAGTATATTATCTTGTTTTATTTTACAGACATGTGAGATAGGTACTGTTAATGTCACTGTTTTACAGATGAGGAAGTTAGAAATTCACTGGAAATTTGGCTCTTAAGTCATATTCTCTCCAGTATACCAGAGCTGCCTCTTTGTCTTCTGAAGGCAGAAAGCAGCCGACTGTATTTCTAGAGGGCCTGTCTGGGAACCAGGAACGAACCCCAGGTAGAGCCCAGGGCAATTCTCTGTATTTCCAGGCCTTGTACCTTATTGCCACCAATGGGACGCCAGAGCTTCAGAACCCAGAGAAGCTGTCAGCTATCTTCCGAGACTTTCTGAACCGCTGTCTTGAGATGGATGTGGAGAAGAGAGGTTCGGCTAAAGAACTGTTGCAGGTAATTGTCCCTATGTAGGGAGGCACCTAATTCAGGGAATCACATAACCAAGGCTTTTTTGCTGCATTTTTGTATGGCTGTTATAGAACTAGGCTTTTCTCCTAGCATGTCCCACACTCCTATTTCCCTCATCTTGTTCATCCCTGGACCTTTGCTCATGTTACTCCCTTGGACTCTTCCTCAGCCTACAATAACTCTGTACTGTCTCCTAGGCTGTATCTTACAGAGTTACTTTCTGAGCTCTTATTGAACTTTGCATGTGTCTTCCTTTGGTGCTTGTTTTGTTCTGCCTGAATTAGTCTGGCAGAGTGTGAGTCTTGATGAGAAGAAATTCTTTGACATGAAAATCTTATACACGTTATATTTTACTGGGATAAACCCAAAAGATAGATTTTCAGGAAAGAATATCAGAAGACATTCATTTAGAGGATAGTTAGTGCAACATTTCAAGTGTTCCCAGTTTCTTCATTGGAAACCCTTACAGATGGTGGGAATGAGAGTCTGCTTGTTTGTTCACTTATTTCAATTTTTGGTCATGCTACATGGCATGTGGGATCTCAGTTCCCTGACCAGGGATCAAACCTGTGCCCTCCTGCAGTGGAAGCTTGGAGTTTTAACCATTGGATCACCAGGAAGGTCCCTACAGTCTGCTTGTTTGGAGTGAGATCCTGACAGGCTGTGGGGAACCTAAAGTTGGGGGTTTACCAAGTTTTATATATTACACCAGCTTAATCCTGAAGTTATAGTGTAATTATTTTATATGGTTTCAAAATTTGCTTTTAGTTGACCACATTATCTATATTGAGCATTTTTGTCTCAGTTACAATTTCTCATTACTAGTGTTATTTTACTACATTGCCAACTGGTGATTTAATAAGTGTGACATGCAACTTAATGACAATGAGTAATGTGTAGATTTGCACAGTCAGTCAGTATACAAAAGTCATAAAACTTTTGTATTTTGAGGACTAATGCAGGGCAGGGCAGGGCAGGATGTACCATACTGCATCATGTTAAAACTAATTATGAACAATTCTGTCTTCCTCACTGTTAGTAGATCATAACTTCTATGTTATTAATCCTTGGTCTCCTCTTACCTGGGACCTGAATCAAAATAGGTATTCAGTGGGAGAAAACATTTGCAAATGATATGACTGATAAAGCATTAATATCCAAAATATATATCAGCTCATACAACTCAGGAGAAAAAAAAACAACTTACAGACAACCCAGTTTAAAAATGGGCAGAAGACCTGAATAGACATTTTTCTAGAGAGAAAATGCAGATGGTCAGCAGGCACATGAAAAGATGCTCAATATCGCTAAGTATCAGGGAAATGCAAATCAAAACCACAGTGAGAAATCACCTCACACCTGTCAGAATGACTATCATTCAAAAGAATCCAATAACAAATGTTGACAAGGATGTGGAGAAAAGGGAACTCTCCTACACGCTTGATGGGAATATAAATTGGTACAGCCAATATGGAAAACAATATGGAGGTGTTTCAAGAAACTAAAAATAGAACTATGATATGACCCAGTGGTTCCAGTCTTGGATATATATATGAAAGAAACAAAAACACTAATATGAAAAGATACATGCAACTCAATGTTCATAGCAACATTATTTATAATTGCCAAGATATGTAAGTGACCTCAGTGTCCATCAGGAGATGAATGGATAAAGAAGATGTGGATGAATACTACTCAACGATAAAAAAGAATGAAATCTTGACATTTGCAGCAACATGGATGGACTTGGAGGCTATTATGCTAAGTGAAATGTCAGACAGAAAAACAAATACTGTATGACATCACTTATATGTGGAATCTAAAAAGTAAAATAAACTAGTGAATATAACATAAAAGAAACAGATTCACAGATATAGAGAACAAATTAATGGTTACCAGTGGAGAGTGGGAAAGTGGGCGAGGGACATTATATGGGTAGGGTATTAAGAGCTACAAATTATTATATGTAAAACAAGCTGCAAGGATATATTGTATAACCCAGGAAATATAGCCAATATTTTATAATAATTATAAATGGAGTATAACCTATAAAAATTGTGAATCACTATATTGTATACCTGTGATTTATGCAGTGGCTCCCTAGTGGCTCAGTGGTAAAGAATCTGCCTGCCAGTACAGTAGAGGCAGATTCGATCCCTGGGTTGGGAAGATTCCCCGGAGAAGGAAATGGCAAGCCACTCCAATATTTTTGCCTGGGAGAGCTGATGGACAAAGGAGCCTGGCGGGCTACAGTTCATGGAATTGCAAAAGAATCGGACATGGCTTAGTGACTAAACAACAAGAACAAACTTATATAACATTGTATATCAACTATACTTCAATTAAAAAATAGGTATTCAGAAAATGTCTGTTGAAGTGAATAGAATTGCTTAAACCTTCATTGAAATGTTACCTTCTGGAGATATTTAGCATCTCTTTGTAATCAGAGTTACTGACTAAAGAGCATTGATATATTAGATATGAGATCTGGGTTCTGCCAAACCCTTTAGTTTCTAGCATCCTTTGGGACAAAACTCCTTATAAAAGGCAGTATATATAATACAGGATCCTTTTCCTTTCATATGAAGTTTTTTCTGGAAACACTAAGCTTTGGGAAATGTGCAAATAGTCTAAGCCTCAAGATGATATTGTTAACCAGGTATTAAAATACAGTTACTGAAAGATTAATGCCTTCTAGAGTTTTTTTCCTGATATAATAATACATGACAAATAATAAATGCATTGTGTTGAAGCTTTACCACATTCTAGGCACTAAGCACTTTACATATTTTTTAATCTATTCTTTTTTAATAAACCTGTGATTCATAAGTTTTGTATTCCCATTTTTACAGGTGAGGAAACTGAGATTTCAAGTGTTCAATAACTTTGCTTGATTAAAATAACTGAGAAGTGGTGGATCCAGGATTTAAATCTATGTTTATTTGGCTCTCAAGTGTATATATTCTTGGCCACTGCCTGGCTCCGAGTATTAAAGCTGGAAAGACCTTAGGGCTTATCTTGTCTGATTTGTTCATTACAAAGGAAACTGAGGCCTCCTAATTGGGTGTTGGGTCATGCTGCTTTCTCAACTCAGGGGAGTTGTATAAACATGCAATCTGAGAACATTGACTCTAACTTGTTACTGTACATTGTAAATATTCTAAACGATGACTTTCAGAATCTCAGATCATGAAAGCTTCACATCTGTTTATCCTGTGAGAACGATATATATGGACAGAAATAATACATAGGGGCTTTTGTTGGAATCCATATCTTCATAATTTAGCCAAGATCTTTTATTCCTTTTATAGTAATAGTTTCTTATTTTCAGTACCTCTTTGTTTTTTATTTAATTTAATTAATTTATTATTATTTTTATTAGTTGGAGGCTAACTACTTTACAATATTGTAGTAGTCTTTGTCATACATTGACATGAATCAGCCATGGATATACATGCATTCCCCATCCCGATCCCCCCTCCCACCTCCCTCTCCACCCGATCCCTCTCTCAGTACCTCTTTGAATCCCATCTTTGTCCAAAAAGAATTTGAAACGCTTCTAGCAAAGAATATTTATAGATATTTCTATATTTAGAAATATAGAAATTTTAAAATTTAATGGGTGTGTATACACATATACAATATGATTAATAAAAGAGACTTACGAGGATGGCCAGAAAAATCAAACATGCTAATCATTTGCATTAAATAGTTTTGGTTAAACATCAAATTTGGTTCTTAGTGTCCTGGTAGCGAAGACAGAAAAGAAAATACATTAGTTAGTTCCTATGTTTCTTATCCAATGGGAGAAGCACCCTACACCCTCAAGACACAAAGCCTTTTCACTAGTAAATGAAGAAAAGTCATTTTTAGTTGTGAGTTCAGAGTTCTATAATGACCATTTTCCATAATGTTTTTTTTTATAATTTTTTTTTTTTACTGAAAACATAAAAGTAATTTTCAATTGGTGTTTTTTCCATAATAGTTTTCTTTAATAGTTGTGGGTATCACTCACAGTATAGCCCAGTGAAAGTGATTTGGAAAAGGACCAAGTTTTTCCTGGGTTAATTAACCTTACTAAACTCAAGGATAGAACAACAAATTCCCAAATCAGTGCTTCTGAAATGCAGAATTGTAGTGTACCATTCGGAGAAGGCAGTGGCAACCCACTCCAGTACTCTTGCCTGGAAAACCCCATGGATGGTGGAGCCTGGTAGGCTGCAGTCCATGGGGTCGCTAAGAGTCGGACATGACTGAGTGACTTCACTTTCACATTTCACTTTCATGCATTGGAGAAGGCAATGGCAACCCACTCCAGTGTTCTTGCCTGCAGAATCCCAGGGACGGGGGAGCCTGCTGGGCTGCCGTCTGTGGGGTCGCACAGAGTCGGACATGACTGAAGCGACTTAGCAGCAGCAGCAGCAGTGTACCATTGGGTCACCATCAGTTAATAACCTTCCCTCTGAGCTCATTATTGTTCTGACTTTCACCATATTTTGGACTTATCTAATATTAAGTGAAATCTTACACTATGAACTCTTCTTGTGCATGTCTTTCATGTAGCATGTCTTCTGTAGGATTCATCCTGTTATCAGTGTATCAATTATTCCTTTTTATTGCTCTGTAATTTTGTATCATATTCTATGAATATACTGTTACTTGTTCTTTCAGTCTCTTGGACATTTAAGTTCTTTCATTTATGACTGTCGTAAGTAAAACTGCAATGAGCATTTATGTGTCTGTGTCTTCTGGTGAATTAAAAAACTTACTTCTCTTGAAATATGTCTAGAGGTAGAATTGGTGGGATATAGGATAGACATGTATTTAGCTGTAGGTAGCTACCGCCAAACAGTTCTTCAAAATGACATGTTATCTTTGAAAGATGTCCTTCCATTTGAAGTTGACGATCTGCACAGTATACAAACATGGATGCCCTGAAAATCTTGTAATGGTTACTGCGGAAGAATGGTAAATTGTTATGTGTCTTTTGTTCTTTTTCTCCTTTCTAGCATCAGTTTCTGAAGATTGCCAAGCCTCTCTCCAGCCTCACTCCACTGATTGCTGCAGCAAAGGAGGCAACCAAGAACAGTCACTAAAACCACATCACCCCAGCCTCATTGTGCTGAGCCTTCTGTGAAATAAATGCTCATTTCGGAAATTCCAACCCCTGAGGCTCTTCCTTGCTTTCTCCTCCCATTTCCTGGTCTAGTGCTTTCAAGACTGATCCTTGAAAACCATGTGTCCAGCATTGAAGAGAACTGCAATTAACTAATTGGATGATGGCCATTTTAAAATAAGGAATTTGCTCCCAATCTGTGGATGTGAGGGTGATTTATGATCAAGGGCTTATATAAATAAATCCTTGGACTCCTATTTCTCCCTCCTGCACCAATCAGTTCTTGACTATATAAATTTTTGACTTTATAACATTATCAACTTGTGATCAGTTGAGATATTTTTCAGTGCTTGTTTTTCTGTTATCAGACTGCCCAAACACATTATTGTACTTGAAAATGGAAAAGCTCAAGGAATGCCATGGGGGTGATATTCAGCCAGGACATGAAATGGCTCTTCTTTCTGGACCATGACTTTGGCACAGCTGATCCTGATATGGGTGGGAGAGCTACCATGTTTTTCTTTGTGTATGCTTCAAGCATCTTTTTGGGAGGATCTAGATCCAATCGTGTTCCCCATGCTATTTCTTGTGAAATGATCTTGGCTATGTAGCAGCTTTTGACTCCCTAAATCCCCTAGGCTGCTGCCCCCATTCTGTCTTTGTTTAGAACATTGAGAACTTTCCTAGGGCACATGCTGGGTGAGAGCAGTGTGAGAAGTCAAGGGAAAAAAAAAAGCTGCTTTTAGAACAAAGCTGGACATCAGCACCTGTCCAGCTATACCCATGTGATGTTTCAAGAACTCAGCATGTTTTTCCATCTGCAACATGGAGCTTAAAGATTAACTCATCTTCTGATTGCCCTAATCTCTGGCTGAAAGAGAAAGATCTCCAAATCTGAGACTACATGTTAGTTTTGGATGGATTTGTTGGCCTGAGATGATAGTCTGCCAGTTGTGAGGGGACCCTGTTTTTACTCTGCATGGCCAAGCTCTCAGCAAATGGAAATGCTTGCACTGGGTGTTGGGGATGTTTGCTACCTCGTGCTGTCTTTGTGGTTTTGGTCCTTCCATTATTGTAGGACCCCTGGCCAGCATTGTGGCTTGTCATGTTAGCCCCAATGGCTACCTTGTCATGCTCCGAGGTACCACTGCCTCTGCAGTTTTATTTCCTTCAATAAAAGGAGATGAAAATATTCTATTTGGTGTATGCCTTTCTTTCCTTTTTCCTCTTCCCTTCCCTTTTCTAATTTCTTATTTTGATATTTTCTAAGTTAAGAAAAAATGTACGTTATAAAAATATTCTTTCTTCCAGAATCATTTGATATTAAGTTGCAGATAAGATGCTGCTTTACCACTATATACTTACTTTATTGTGTATTCTTGATTCTTAACACTTTTGCAAAGGTGAAGACCCATGAAAGCCAGTGGTGTAGTTTGAAGACCAGACAGCCAGAGAGCAGTGGTGTAGAGTCTAGTGGAAGTCTAGGGGATTCCCTGGTGACTTAAGTGGTTAGGATTGTGTCCTTCCATTGCAGGGGGCATGGGTTTAATCCCTGGTCAGGGAACTAAGATTCTGCATACTGTGTGGCATGGCCAAAAAAAAAAAAAAAAAAGCAGGTCTGCACTGCTATATTTAAAATGGATAAGCAATAAGGCCCTACTGTATAGCACAGGGACTCTGCTCAATGTTATGTGGCAGTTTGAATGGGAGGGGAGTTTGAAGAAGAATGAATATATGTTTATATTTTTGACTGAGTCCCTTTGCTGTCCACCTGAAACTATCACAACTTTGTTAATCAGCTATATTCCAATATAAAATAAAAATAAAAGTAAGGGGAAAAAAAAAAGGTGGGTCTAGTGGTAGTCCAGTTTGTAGTAGTCTAGTAGTCTGATTCCTCAGAATCAGGGGCACTGAGGACAGGAGAAGATCAGTGTCCTACTGGTAGAGTCAGAGAGTAGCCTTTCTCCACATTTTTGTTCTGTTCAGACTGTCAGCTAATTGAATGATGTCCACCCACATTGAGGAGGATCATCTGCTTTGTTCAGTCCATCAATTCAAATGCTAAACTCTTCTGGATCCACCCTCAAAGACACACCCAGAAATAACATTTAACGAGATATGGGGCTCCTGATGACCCAGTCAGGTTGACAGAATTAACCATCACACACTCCATTCCCACCTCCAAATGAAGGCGATAACTCCAGGGAGGACTGATCAGCTGACAGCCCTTATAATGCTGTGTGATTATGGCTTTTAGATCAGGGGGTCAAAAGTGATGATTATTGAGACCTGATACTGTCTTAAGAAGAAAAATGCAGAGCAACACGAGATCTTGTAGTTACTGAAAGGACAAGTATGATTGGATTGCTTCTGTGTAAGACAGAAGGAATATTAGATAATGTTCCAGAAGAAATGATGAAGATCCAAAGATTGTACTTCTTCACTCTTAGACTGCAGTGGTAAACTGGTTAGTCTAATGAGGGCTGAAAATTGTTAGTTAATTGCCTCTGGAATTTTAGAGTTGATTGGTTGGGTCATGTCTGACTCTTTGCAACTCCATCAACTGCAGCATGCCAGGCTTCCCAGTCCTTCATCATCTTCTGGAGCTTGCTCAAACTCATGTTGGTGATGCCATCCAACCATCTCACTCTCTGTTGTCCCCTTCTCCTCCTGCCCTCAGCCTTTCCCAGCCTCAGGGTCTTTTCAAATGAGTCAGCTCTTTGTGTCAGGTAGCCAAAGTATTGGAGCTTCAGCTTCAGCATCAGTCCTTCCAGTGGATATTCAGGACTGATTTCCTTTAGGATGGACTGGTTTGATCTCCTTGCAGTCCAAAGGACTCTCAGGAGTCTTCTCTAACACCACAGTTCAAAAACATCAATGCTTTGGTGCTCAGCCTTCCTTATGGTCCAGCTCTCACATCTGTACATGACTACTGGAAAAACCATAGCTTTGACTCGATGAACCTTTGTTGACAAAGTAACGTCTCTGCTTTTTAACACACTGTCTAGGTTTGTCATAGCTTTTCTTCCAAAGGGCAAGCGTCTTTTAATTTCGTGGCTGAAGTCTCCATCTGCAATGTTTTTGGAGCCCAAGAAAATAAAGTCTGTCACTGTTTCCATTGTTTCCTCCTCTGTTTGCCTTGAAGTGATGGGACCAGATGCCATGATCTTAGTTTTTTGAATGCTGAGTTTTAAGCTAGCTTTTTCACTCTCCTCTTTCACTTTCATCAAGAGGCTCTTTAGTTCCTCTTTGCTTTCTGCCATAAGGGTGGTATCATCTGCATATCTGTGGTTATTGATATTTCTCCCAGCAATCTTGATTCCAGCTTGTGCTTCATCCAGCCTGGCATTTTTCATGATATACTCTGCATTTAAGTTAAATAAGCAGGGTGACATATAGCCTTGATACTCCTTTCCCAATTTGGAATCAGTCCATTGTTCGATGTCTCGTTCTAACTCTTGTTTCTTAACCTGCATAGTCGGGAGGCAGGTAAGGTGGTCTGGTATTAGCATCTATTTAAGAATTTTCCACAGCGTGTGGCAGACGTCTTCTTGGAGGAGGTTGCCATTAGCCTCACCATAGAGCCTCTGAGCGGACAACCCCAAACTGGGGAACACTTATACCAAGGAAGTTCCTGCACTGTTGCCAAAGTTCTAGGGCCCACAATAGATTTCCCAGCATGGAGATCTGGCAAAGAAATTGAGAACCTTCAGAGAATTTGACATAGCCATAGAATATGACAAAAACTGGTTAGAACCAAGATAGGAGAAGATTTGACTTCCAGTAGACCTTGAGCCTCATTATATGCTCATTATAATGCATTAGCATATTCTAAATGACATATCCACCAGCACCATGATTCTGAGACCAACTATGAAAAGCCAAAAGTGGGTGATGGCTTAATCCTGCAACTCTCCACCCTTTCCCTGAAATAGTTGGAATAATCTTCCCACTCATTAGCCTATGATATTACCCAGCCCGTAACTAACTACAGCATATTTTAGGGCCTCTCGAATTCTGAGATGGCCCACACTCTTGTCTGTGGAGTGTATTTCCCTTTCCCCCAAGGCTGTTCTTGAACCACATTCTGTCTATGGAATGTGTATCTCTCTAAGTAAATCCATTTCTTATCTATGGCTTTGTCTGTCACTGATTTCTTTCTGTGATGAGTCGTAAAGAACCTGAGCTTCATTGAGTCCTGAGATGAGTTGTGTGATCTCAGTTAAAAGACCATGGGTTCAGGTCCCAGTCTGGCTTTTGGCTGGGTTTGAGTCCCAGCAAGTGGGTTCAACTACCATCTCAGGTGCAGTGTTTCACAAGCATTAGCTCTCCTGTGAACTTTCCAACAATTTAAGCATTAGAGTGATGACTGTGTGATCAAGCAGGACCCCATTGGGCCCTGCTGGACGGCACAAAAGTGGTTCTGTATTCCTAGTTTCTTATTTGCAGGATCAAGGCTTTGGCCTTCTAGACATTCCTGAGTTCCAAAGAGCAGATTCAAACAGTTTCTAGTCAGTAAAGTAAGGAAATGCAGAAACAAAGGAAGAACAATCAAGAAGCTGTAGTGCAGCCGTTAAAAACAGGATCCTGGTTCCTTCTCAAGGGATATACATTAAGGGTCTTTGAGTACTTCTGTAGGAACTAAAGCCTCCACACAGGTGGAGGATGGCAACTTTAGGCTGAACACAAGATTCCTGGAATACTGACCTGTTACTTCACTACCGACCAGTCAGAAGGAGTCATACACCTTGCAACCCTCACCCCAAATTTTGGCCTGTAAAAACTTTTCCCTAAGAAGCATTGGAGAGTTGGGATCTTTGAACATGATCCACCTATTCTCCTTGCTTTGCCCTGCAGTAAGCCTTTCTCTGCTCCAAACTGATGTTTGGGTTTGTTTGGCCTTACTGTGCACCTGTGCATGCGTGGTCAGTCACTCAGTCAGGCCTGACTCTTTGAGATCCTATGGACTGTAGCCTGGTA